CCCCCCCCCCCCCCCCCCCCCCCCCTCTCTAATTCATAGACGACAAAAAAATCGCCGAGGCGGTTCAGAGTCCAGAGCGGCAGGGGTTGACGACGGCTCCCGAAATCGCTGCCCTTGGCGTTGATTAATCGGGACCGAGCTGCTCCTTTCTCGCCTTTTCCCGTAGAGCATCTTTGCCACCGGACACGCAGCAGCCCCTTTTGGAGTCCTCGAGGGAGGGAACACGACACCTCCAACACAACACTAGAACAGAAGATGTACTCTTTCACTCACGAACTACTCAAACGCCTCACGAGGGGTGGAAAAGGCCAACAGGACGAAACAAAAAAAACACACGAGTGGATAGACACTCTTTTGATGATGAGGGGAGAAGAAAGGCTACAGGACACGCACAAAAAGTAAACAAACAAAAAGTGGTACATGCACAGATACTCTGCTGATGATGAGGTAAGAAGAAAGACTACGGGACGCACAATAAAAAACAAACACAAGTGGTATGCAATCATAAGTTTTGATCATGATCCCGAGTTCGTTCGCATCATCACTGGGCTGGCTGGCTCACCAGGTGCATGCGCAGTCCCCTCTGCCCACCGCAGGTGCGCCCGCAGAGGGGGCAAGGCGTAGGTCGAGCGTCACAGGAGGCCGTCCCCCCCGCCGCGAGCGCATCAAAGGCCTTGAAGCCCGACAGGNNNCGGGTGGCGGCGGGGAGCTTCCCCTGGAGCCGCCGCCGCCGCCGTTGTGACGAACCCGCCTGTTAAGATCGGCGAGTTGGTACGTCGGTTCGCAGCAGCATGTGGCGCAATTAAACACGCGGTCGAAAGGGAAACGCGCGCCCCTGGTCGGAAGGAATAATTAAAAACGCGTCAGAGGAGCGGAAGGGAGGTGCTAGGCAGGACTCGGAGCAGAGGGAGGAGGCCCCGCCATGCTTACTTAGACGCGGTAAATTGCGTGCTGCTGTAAGCAGCATCTGCTGCGTTGGCCTAGGCAGCAAGGTACTCCCCCCCGGTGTTTGCCACCGGGGTTGGGTTTTCGCCGCTTGGCAACGACGTTGTAAAACAAGCCAATTCACTTCGTGAACTCGGCAACCAGGTAACCGTTTGTTTTCATTTACCTGTGTTTTTTTTTTGGCAGTAACCATAATGGTGGTCGAGTAGATCATGTTGTGCGGGGTGGAGAACCC